CACCATGGCAGAGATTCTTTAACTTATTTGGACTATTTAAAAAAAAAAATCACTATGATTTTAAGTGAACAAAATGCCTCCAATTACACTAGAGGCTACTAGCACCCCCTGGGTCATTCCAGGACCTGCCCTAGGGGGCAGTATTGTCCTTTCTGAGAAATGCTGGACTAGAACATTAGGACATTACGTACTATTCTGTTTCTCTTAATTTGTTGACTGATCACCTAGTTTGATTTCATGACCTACTAATGCTGAATCAGATTGGATTAGATGGCTATCAATGTTTCAACATAAAAGATAAACAATTTTTTCCTTTCTTTGCTCCATTCATACTCTAGCTATTATGAAGCTCCTCAGAACAGAAACACAGTAGATAGCGTGAGCTTGACTTTCTTTTCTACCATTAACTGGCTGTGTGACTTTGAATAGTTAGAAATTTTTTTTTGTTTGTTTTTTGAATCACATCCGGCTGCGCTCAGAGACTTACTCCTAGCTTTGTGCTCAGGGATCACTCTTGCAGGGGCTTCGGGACCTAATGCAGTTCCAAGGATGGAATCTAGGGTGGCTGAATGCAAGGCAAATGCCCTACCGGCTGTACTATCTCTCCATACTTGAGCAATCAAAATCATTTGGGTTGGGTTGTATTTATTGTATGTAGTCTGCTAAGTTTTTAAAATATTTAATTTCCCTTTATATTTCATTCATTTCATTTCATCATCCTGTTAATCGTCGATTGCCTCGAGCAGGCCCCTTTATATAAAATTTATCAAATGAAATTCAATTATCAATCTCTAAACTCAATGCACACAGCGGGTAGGGCGTTTGTCTTGCATGCAGCCGACCCGGGTTTGATGACTCCATCGCTCTTGGAGAACCCAGCAAGCTACTGAGAGTATCCCGCCCACACGGCAGAGCCTGGCAAGCTCCCCGTGTAGTATTCAATAGTCCAAAAACAGTAACAAGTCTCACAATGGAGATGTTACTGGTGCCTGCTCGAGCAAATCGATGAACAACGGGAGGATAGTGCTATACTCTTTAATTGTACTTGAAACTATTTGAATTTTTTTTAGCATTTATCGTTAATTTCTAGTAATATAGCCTTTAGAGAAAAGTTGCTATAGAAAGCATGTTAATGTTTATACAGATAGTTCTTGCTCTTACATGTTATCTTTTTGTTGTTGTTATTCAGGAAAAAGTTGTTTTAAAAAACACTCCTAGGTGCTGGAGAGATAGTACAGTGGGTATTGAACTTGCCTTACAAACTACCAACCCGGTTTGATCCCCATCATCCCATGTGGTGTATCTCATGGATATTCAATAAAAAAAATGTCTAAGGTTAAGAGGCTACAGATACTGACTCTTGTGATAGAGCATGGGCCTTGCATATATTAGGACCTGATATGGTTTGGGGAACCATGTAGTCTGCTGGGCATTGAACCTTACCCATTGTACTCTTTGGTTCCCTCATCTAAAATTTTATAATACAACCATGCATTGATATAATGTTAGCCTTAATCACTTAACTTCCCGTTAGTCGTCGATTTGCTCGAGCGGCCGCCAGTAACGTCTCCATTTGTCCCTGTCGCGTGCTAGTGTAGCCCAATGGCATCTGTTTGCTCCGGGAACATGAAGGGCCTCAAACCGATCATTCATGATCTCGACGAAGAAGTCTGACCATCTGGTAGGTGGGCGGCCACGTGGTCTTTTGACATCCCGTGGAATCCAGTCGGTAACAGCTCTAGTCCAGCGGTCCTCTTTAAATCTCATTACGTGACCAGCCCATCTGATTTTCGACACCTTGGCAAATGAGACAGCGTCCCTGATTCTTGATCGTCAGAACTCCCGATTCTTTCTCTCATTTGAGTGAAACGTGATATTCCAAGCATAGCTCTTTCTATTCTATTGTTAGCCTAAGTGAAAGCATCTTGAAAACAAAGTATCATTCTAAACACAAATTACTCTATTATATATACAAATAAAACACAAATTACTCTATTATATATACAAATAAAAACCTAATTAAAATATAGTGTAAAAGCAAATTTCAGGCAATGTTGATTTCTTCTAAGTTTTTCTTTTGCTCCTTATAGCTTCTGTAGTTTAATATTGTTGCAAGTTTCTTTGATCTACAGATATTCATAACTGTTCACCATTATTGTGAATTGTCATCTTTAGGATTACAGAGTGGGGTTTTAAAAAATTATTAGGTCTGGTTTAATACCTCTTTGTTGTTTTTGGGTCACACTGGCAGTGCTCAGGGCTTATTCCTGGGTCTGCACTCAGGGATCACTCCTGGCAGGGTTCAAGGTATCAATCATGAATGGGTTGTCAGGGATTGAACCTGAGTCAGCTGTGTGTAAGACAAGCACCTTACCTGCTATACTATCCTGCTGACTCCAGTTTAATACACTTTAACTGGAGTTCAGCCTAGTATTTAGATTATTTTTATTTTCTGATCTCTCTTTATTCATCCAATCCTCACTCTTTGTCATTAAGATGGTTTGACAGTGATTTTTCAATTCTGTGATGAAAAGTAACCCTAAGGAACTAAACACTGATGTCATCAATAAAATCTGCACACAGATGTGTGTAGCAATTTTACTCATAATTGCTGAAACCTTAGATTTGATCCCATATAAAATAAAAACAGAAATAAGACAATTTCATGAAACATATAAATGTTGTAAACCAACATTACTTCCATATGTGTATTTTCAATCCAAAAAGCCTAGATTTTGTATTATCTTAATTGTATCATATTCTGGAAAACGGTAAACTAGGTACAAAAATATCAGCAAATTTTGCTAGGGTTTGGTGGTAGGGGATGGCAAAAGGAGGAAAGGGCAGGCAGAGTACAAAACAATTTTAGGGCAATAACAATACTCAGTATAGCATTACACCGTCCTCCAGTTGTTCATCGATTTGCTCAAGTGGGCCCAGTAACGCCTCTATCGTGAGACTTGCTGTTACTGTTTGAAATATTGAATATGTCACGGTAGCTTGCCAGGCTTTGCCATGTGGGCGAGATATTCCCAGTAGCTTGCCGGGCTCTCCAAGAGGGACGGAGGAATTGAACCCAGGTCAGTCGGGCTGGCTGTGTGCAAGGGAAACGCCCTACCGCTGTGCTATTGCTCCAGTTCAACAATACTCAGTATGATACCAAAATTATTGCTGTATGTCATTAAACACTTAAGTCCATAGAATATAGGCCATAATGTAAATTATGGTATTAGGTAATTATGTCAAGGAACCAAATTTATCAATAAGAAAAATGTACCACTATTGGGGAATGTTGATTATGGGAAGACTTATATACGTGTGTGTGTGGGGGGGAGGTGGGAGGGACAAAGGGTCTTGAGAATTTTGTACTTTACTGTTGGTTCTGCGGTTAACCTGAAACTGCTCCAAAGTTCTTCTAAAATTTCCCCCTTCCATTCTCTTTATTGTTCCCGCAGATATCTGATGATTGAAGTTGATGGTGATGCCAGCATACTTAGTTGCAATGAACCTGAGATAGCCACTTCCTGTGGCACCAGACATCACAACAGCTGTACCCCTGAAAATCAAACTCAGTACTGAGAATAGAATTCTCAGCTTCAGCTAAGGCAGGGGTCCTACCACTGAGCCACATCCAGTACATTTTCTGCTTTAACCTGATACTATTTTATTTTTTTAATCTGTAGCACTGTAGCACTGTCCTCCCGTTGTTCATCGATTTGCTCGAGTGGGCCCAGTAATGTCTCCATTGTGAGACTTTGTTGTTAACTGTGGTTTGGTATATCGAATACATCACAGCTTTGCTGTGCAGGTGAGATACTCTCAGTAGCTTGCCGGGCTCTCTGAGAGGGGCAGAGGAATCAAACTCGGGTCGACCAGGTCGCCACATGCAAGGCCTACCCACTGTGCTACCCCTTTAAATGGCTGTTGAAGTAAGCCAAGATAGCATTCACCTGAGTTCTAGACTACACCATTGCTTCAAGAGTGCTTAGTCATATGGTACTAAATGTAAACTTCTCAAGGCTGCGCAAATTTCTCTGCTTGAAGAGTTAATGAATGAATATTCGCTAGTCACATGGGTTTCAGAATCCTCTCAATATAAAGCAGCCTATCCTGGTTAGGAATGCTGGGTGCCTTATTTCTGTCATCTATTTCTTAAACTAAGGCTTAAAGAACATTGTGTATACCTTGATTTCCTTAGGGGCTGTTGCTAAACCAAAGCAGGTGGCAATATACAGGACTGTCCAACATCTTTTTTCGGGGGTAAAATTCCAAATCTACAAACCTGTTGAAATTGGACCCTAATTTTAAGTTGAATGAAGTCACTGTCACTGTCCTCCCGTTGTTCATCAAATTGCTTGAGCAGGCCCAGTAACGTCTCCATTGGGATACTTGTTACTGTGTTTGGCATACTGAATACATCACGGGTAGCTTGCCAGGCTTTGCAGTGTGGGCGAGATACTCTTGGTAGCTTGCCAAGTTCTCCGAGAGGGGCAGAGGAATCGAACCTGGGTCGGCCAGGTTGGCCACGTGCAAGGCAAATGCCCTACCCGCTGTGCTATAGCTCCATCCCAATTTTAAGCTGAATAAAGTAACAAATATTAATACTTAGAAAAGACAATTATCACTTGCCACTGATCCTGGTTCCTCTTACATCTTTGTTTCTTTTCTGTCTTTCTACTTTTCTTCTGAAACAGGATTCAACATTCTTGAACCCTGCCTCAGTAAGTTAGAAGCTGCAATTAAACTAACCATTGATTTCAAGCTCGAGACCAGAAGTTGGACTTGATACATTTCCAGGGGTACTGATGCAGAGTAGTATAGTGAATAAAAGGATAAACATTATTGAATGTTCTACATCTGGATGGCTCTTACTAAAGAACTGTTTCCAAATCTGACTCATACACAGGGTTTAATGACGTTGGAAATGTACATTAAATTCATATTTAAAAGAAAATGCCAAAAAAAAAAATAAAAGAAAATGCCAAAGCCGTTTACTCAAAACTAGTTTTATTTAAAAAATTAAGTGCATAGCACTCATCTAATTCCACTGGTGTAGACTTTAGCACCATACTATATGCAATTAACATTGTAACACAGATACATTTTGGTTTGCATTCTATACTTGAGTAGTGTTTATTTAGTGGACTTTGGTAAAGCCCTTGATACATATCATTGAATCTCTTCACAGTACATTTAATGATGGTCCAGTAATCTCAAAAACAAACCTACTTTAAAGGCTAATCAATAAATTAAAAGAAAACAAAACCCACACAATCCCCCACCCCCTTTAGCTCCCACAAGCTAACAGTTTTGTGAGTTGTATTTATATTGAAAACTAATGTTTTAAAAATAGTTCTGGTTCTCCAACTACCCCCACCTCCCACCTCTGGGTATGCAGCAATAGTAACCAATTAATAATTTCATTCTCCCCCCCTTAATTAATCCAGTGTTCTTTTGTTTTTTTAAATATAAATTGGGAAAGTGTTATTAATAAGGTTTTAAAAAAGGCATACTCTTCTATAACAGGAATGACATTAAACCAATCAATAAAAGCATTTGACAAGACATTATATTACCATAGGCACCGGTTGTTGTTTCAAGTTGGGATCTCTATCCCAGTATCTTACATTCATAGTATTATTGAGGTAGTTAAAATACTGAAAGTTGGACTCCAGGTTGCTGGGTTCTGAATCTGAAAGATATGTTCTCGTTTGAATCCACTTTCCCCCAAATAATTCAAGTTTTCTTAAAGTAAGAACGACTAAATTCCAATTAGCAGCCTTCTTAGAAGAAAAGTGATGACACTTTTAGAAAACAATTTTCATGCTTGAAAACCGCTTTAGTGAATGTTCTTACCTGAGTGGTTTGTTTTGTCTACCAGACTAATACACCCATATCATGCCCTATGTATTCTAATTAGGAATTACTTTTCTTTTAAGGAAAGGACATTCTCGGAAGAATTCATGCTGGCAGAAGCTCCCTTCATCCCCACATACATCCAATGGAGCCATCTGGATCAATCCATTACTATGCTGAGTTCCTTCCTAACAACAGCCACTGGCTTGATTACCCAGACTCATGCTGCATACCCACATCTTAATAAGTTTCTCTTCAATGCATAATGGGCAGTCACATACCTGCCATGCAGTTTCCCTACTATTCAAGTGCTATCTTTTAGAAAAACATAAATGAAGACACACCTCACTAATTTTTAAATCAGAAAGTTCCCCTCCACCAAGTCTCTCTTTTCCCACAGATAAGAGCACAAAACTAATTCCTTAGTTTTTAAAGTTTATTCCTCTCCCAAACTCTTTATCCCCAAATTGCCCTTGTTGTAATGATTATTGATGTTTTCACTCATTTCCAGTACAGTGAAATGTCCTTGGGCAGTTCTGGGGCCAATCCAATGAAAGTGGCTACAGAAATTTAAATCAACAGTACCTTTGCCTGCTTATACTGTCTAGTTGGCTTCAAAGGTTGCTTATAAAACCTGTATTTCACATAGCAAAGTGCTGCTCTAGCACAACCTGAGAACTACCCTGGCCACACTCCACTCAAAAAAAAAAAAAATCAAAAACCCTACAGAACTTTATTCTAGTACTGACATTTTAAAAATTATACCTTTCCTTGCAAAAACTTTTTTTGAGTAGTATCAAATACTGGTATAAATCATTGATTGCACTGAAAAATGCAAATGCAAAACCTATATATGTATTATGAATGACAGGAAACACCATGTGATTCACTGTAAGCTATAAAGTTTTTGTCTGAAAACAACTAGCAGGAGTATTTTAACCTATGTTATAAAGGTAGTTCATTCTATAACATTCCCAAAGTATGTTGCATTACAGTTAAGTGTTTGCAAGTAGTACAAATTCCCTGAGTTAAATGTGTTTTAATTCTAAAGATTTGAGGTTGATCACTTAGGGAAAAAGTAAAAAGAAAACCAACAAAGATTTATGACCATGATTTTAAGAGATCTACTCCCTCACTCTTAGTTTTAGTACATAAATCCAGACACCTACACTATCTGTGATAGGAAGTTAAATAAAATCATCCATTTTTTTTCTTACTGCACAGACTGATATAACATAGCAATTGATGAGTTTAAACTTAGTAAAAAATTCATCTGTAGATCAAAAATATAACTCAAAACTGCAGAATAAAAAAAAGCTCTTCAAAAATTAATACTGTAAATTTCCTTCATAAAAAAACTGTTTGGCAAGTCCACAGAACCACAGAAGAAACACTAGTCTATGATGTAGTAATCAATAGGCCCAGAGCTTACCAAAGGTCAAATATCAAAATGGCAAATTGGGATCTGTCCAAATTTTCTGATGTACTGTGTATTTCTGAAATATTGGACCATCAGCTAGGGCTTGGAAATTTTTGACATGCGGAATAGTTACATCAGGTTTTGATATACACACTGTTAGAAGTGACTGCAGTGTATAGTTAATTCTCCAGGTAATTCACGGTGCTTTAAAAGAGATATTCAGTCTTCTTGGTGTTGGTATCTGAAGAACTCCAAAGATGTCCTTCGGATCCCTTTCCTTTTGAAGAGGCGTTTACAAAAAAGCTTACCCCAGATCTTCGTGTCACAAAACTGTCTGGGTTAGGTAATCCCTTTGCATAGAATCACCTTTCAAAGCACGGAGTAATGCAAGGATAATGTTCATTTATCTGATAACTCCGGTTATAAGAAACACTCAGACAAGGTTTAACTTCTACTGGTATTGCCAGTGACATCCCAACACCAGTCTGCACATGCCCTAGGCCCTGAACACTAGTTTGGAAGCCAGCAGGACATGTCTGTAGTGTATAAGATGAGGTGTGTGTGGTCGATACGATCTGCTGACAGCTCGGTTGATCTGACACAGGATGGCGATACTGCAATGAGGTCTGATGCGTTTGATGGAGATACTGAGGTTGCTGAAAGTGGACTGGCCTTGCAGGTTGGGAGGCTGTCTGGAACACACTGAGTTGTGCTGGCTGAGGTCCTGTCTGTCCTCTCTGTTTGTTTGCTTCTTTCACATCATTATCATGAGCACTGAAGTATAAAAAAGTAAACTGTTAATTATGTTACTTGAGAAAAATTTTAAAAGTCCTTTACCACTCCCCAATTCCTCTATAGCCAATTTAATAGACTACTGCCATTTCCTAAGCAGCAGTCATAGTGACTAGTCTTTCAACAAAAACTATTATCCTGCTAAGAGCTCCCTCCCTTGGTACAAATCTTGGGACTGACTGCTAGTAGTTTTGAGGGCTGTATGTCCTTAACAAGGATACATTGCTGCCACTTTGATGACATCCTGGTATTCCCACAATTGAAAGATGGGAAAATGGGAATGAGACCAGCCTGAACTGAAATAAGTCAGAGTCAGGTTCACAAACATCTGAGAGCAGTTCCTTTTTGTATCATGAACTTAGCATCACACAATCAATGACAGGCTCCACCTGGGTAACAGCTGAAGGGTCTCAGAATACTGATCATAAAGCAGCTTGTGTACAGTAGCAAGCAACTGTCAGAGCTAGTTTCCTTTAAGTTTTGTGGCCTTGAGAAGTTGTTTTAGGACATCTTTACATGAAGAAAGTTAAAAAGAATAATTCCAAACATAAGGAAACACTTACATCAATAGCCGTTCAATGCACTGTACTAAAAAATCCCAGGAGTAAGCAGTAAGACGATGCAGTCTTGTAGGCCACGTTGGAGAAAGACGAAGAATAATTCTTGAAGAAGCCACACATGCAGCAGCTACTAAAGAAGGTGCATAATTTAGAAAGGCATAATCTGTGGAGACATCAAAAATGAACTTAAGCAACAGAATATTTAAGTCATAAGCTTATAAGCCACTTGATGGCATCCACAACCACTCACCTTGTAAAGATACTTCCAGGAAGTAATCTGCATATTTGGCCATGTAGAGTTTAGTTTTTTCCAAGCAAATCATTGGCCAGCCATCATGAAGATCTGTTTCATGGACTGCTTCAGAGAGATAATACTCAATGAAATGGGCAGCAGTTGGGAGGCAGAGGTTCCACTGAAAGGTTTCTAATAGTAATAGTTCCATATGTAGCAAATTCTGTTTTGTTAATACTAGATTCATATTAGTCATACAACCCAAACTATTGAGCTGCTCCAGCTTAGGCACACTATCTTCTTTTTCTTCAAATTTACCTTGTAAGACGAAAAGGAGACAGAGAAAATATTAGACAAGTGAAACTCTAGCTCTAGTTAAGTGAGAAATGCTAACTGTAAAGGTATAGAGCCAAAACTATTTTCCCCACCACCAGCAGATAAAATTGTTTTAAAATTGTGGTGCTCATATTTGCCTATTTTCTCAGTACTATCATTAAGTGCCAATGAAAAAAATAACTCAAATCTCATCATCGAGTCTTTGTAGGAAATTTCTTCCAGCAGACAGGTTGTGAATGGTGGAAGAAAATACTTTATTAGAATAGAAGATACAAAGAATTTTATATCAGTTACTGAATTAAAAAAATCGCTAAGTTTCAGGCTGTCTTCTTAACCTATTTTTAGTACAATCTCAATTCCAGAGAGAGAAACAGACTGAGTAGACTAGGCAGGGGAGGAGAACTGGGTAAGTATCTTTAACTCAAGCACTCTCATTATTCAAAACAAAAACCTAGCTAAGCCTGCTACCAAAAAAGGAAAAAAGTACAGTTTATATCCACTTTCATATCCCTCTGGCAAAGTAAAGGAGCAGTAAAGACAATCTAATAAATGAACTTCATTGCAAATCATTTTAGGAAATACTCTAATAAAATTCTCTCTCTAGCACCAGTATGACTTTATTACAGATTATGTACAAAATTACTTTACTTTCCACCATCATAACAAATCATACCACCAAAAATCACTTTGGTATTTTGAGGTTTTACAGGTGGTGAAAATGAACTACCTACCATATACTATTAGGAGTTTCCAGATTCGGCAATAAAACCAACGAGCTGCTGTCAGGTCTCATTGGTATCTGACTCATGGAGTACACAGAAAAAGGGAAAATGATAACTAAAGCCGGCTACCTCCTACCATTATGTTCTATTTTAAATTAGGATTTAAAATAGTTTCACAAACTATAAGTCTAATCACTAATAACCAACTTTGGTGTCCTTCTTTACCTTATGAAAGAAGAAATAATGAGGGAGTTTACATTAGTTGAAGACCCAAAAAACCATGTTTTCCTTTATTTAAAAAAAGTCACTTTATTTTACATTTTATTTATATTTTACATTTTATTTTTTAATTTATACTTTATGTTGTTTATAAATTTTAAACCTGTATTTATTTTTGCTTTTCATTGCATTGTACAATCACTTTTTTTTTCGTTGTGTGTGGGTACACCCAGCGATGCTTAGAGCTTACTCCTGGCTCTACACTCAGGAATTACTCCTAGTGATGCTTCGGGGACACTGATGGCACTGTAAAGCATTTTAAGTAGAGGTCTTTATATGAGCTGTATGGATATGATAGTTGATATTGCTTTAAAAATTCTGTGCTAGTGTCTGAATTAAAAAGTTCAGAAATAATCAGTGCTGGTGGGGATGAAGTAAAAAGGAACTCTCAATCACCAGTAGAGTGAATGTACATCATTTCAGTCTCTAAAGAAAACAATAGGGGGCGAGAGTGATAGTACAGCAGAGAGGGCATTTGCCTTGCACATGGCAGATATGGTGTGACTGCTGGCATCCCAATGATCCCCTGAGCACCACTAGTAGTAATTTCTGAGTGGAGAGCCAAGAGTGATCCCTGAGTATGTGGGGTGTGACTCCCAAAAAGCAAAAAACCAAACAAAACAAGCAAAAAAAAAAATCCATAAAAAAAATCTAGTGTGGCGACTTCTCAAAAAAAAATCACATGTGGAATATAAAGAAAAAACAAAACAAACTAAGGAATAAGCATGACCAATGAAAACAAAACTTGAGACTTTGTCCAAAGAACTGAATTTGCCATGAGGGAACAGGTGGTGGGAGAGGGAACAGGGAGGAAGGAGGCTGGTGAGAAGGAGCTTAGAGGTGAAGGAGGAATACTGGCATTTTGATGGTAGCTGTATTGTAATAACACTGTACGTATAAAGTATAGGTAGCACAATAGCACTGTCCTCCCAATTCGTTCTAATGGGCCCAGTAACATCTCCATTGTGAGACTTGTTGTTACTGTGTTTGACATATCGAATACGTCACAGGTAGCTTGGCAGACTTTGCTGTGGGGCGAGATACTCTTGGAAGCTTGTCGAAGCTTGTCGGGATCTCCGAGAAGGGTGGAGGAATAGAACCTGGCTCAGCGCCTCCGTAAGGAAAACGCCCTACCCGCTGTGCTATTGCTCCAGCCCAAAGTGTAGGTAGCACTGCACTGTAGCACTGTCCTCCCGTTGTTCATCGATTTTCTCGAGTGGGCACCAGTAACATCTCCATTGTGAGACTTGCTACTGTTTTTGGCATATCGAATACGTCATGGGTAGCTTGCCAGGCTACGCCGTGCAGGCGGAGAAATCGAACTCAGGTCAGCCATGTGCAAGGCAAACCGCCCTACCCGCTATGCTATAGCTCCGGCCCTAAAGTGTAGGTATTAATATTAATTTATCTTATTAAAAATTCTGGCTGGTCTACCGAGGTCACCAATTGCCCCCCACGAGCGGCTCTCTGGCACGGCCATGGCCCCAGAAGCACAAGGACTTAATGCAGAACCCAGCAGCTTGGAGCAGAAAAGTGAACGCCACCATGCCTGCCTGGAGGGGAAAGGGTTGCTCCCTTCCGCCCTCTCCCCTCTGGAAAAAAAGATGGCGGTCGCATGGGAGACTTGTGGAGAGCAGGTGTGAGCCAGGGATGATGGGGTGACTAAAACCTCATGGGAAGGGGGGGCGTTCCGGCCCGTCCTTCACGCCCTACCGAGGTCACCAGTTTCCCCCCACGAGTGGCTCTCCGGCACGGTCATGACTCCAGAGCACAGAAACCAATCTCTTAATTATCTGACTCTCAGTAGAAATACTTCCACGGTTAATAAGTAAAATAGCAGAAATCCAAAACTGCGCGGCCGCACGACATCATTTAACTCTTGAACCCAGCTGTAGAAAGCAAATCATTTCACAATGCTTTTTCAGCATGGCTGATTTGGGGGGGGGTAAACTCTAAATAATAATGGTGCTACTTTTATCGAAACAATGAAGCTAGACAAAGTAGATAGAGTTTTAACTAGAATTCATCTGCCTCACAGGCATGGGGGGGGTTATTGGGGTTCTTCGTGGTGAAAAATAAGTATTGGTAAAGGGAAATGTGATTGATATTTGCATGACCGAGACCTAAACCTGAAAGCTTTGTAACTTTTCCCACAGCGATTCAATAAATAAATAAATAAAATAATTAAAAAAGAAATTCTGGCTGGAGCAATAGCATAGCGGGTAGGGGGTGGGCCTTGTACCCGGCTGAGCCGGGTTTGATTCTTTCCTCCCTCTCGGAGAGCCCGTTAAGCTACTGAGAGTATCCCGCCCATAAGTCTGGCAAGTTCCCCGTGGCATATTCAATATGTCAAAACCAGTAACAAGTCTCACAATGGAGACATTACTGGTGCCTGCTCGAGCAAACTGTTGAACAATGGGAGGACAGTGCTACAGTGCTGAGAGATGCTATGCTCATGACTATGAATTTTAGAATGAATTCAAAGAAGCTCATTATTTCTCTTAGTGTACAAATTTTGACCTTCAGATACACACCATTCTTCATTAAACATTGCTGCAGTTACGAGCTGATTAAAAATTTTTTATATACATCAGACTTTAATAATATAGTTATTTCCAGTGTGAATCACAGAGATGAATTTCAAAAGTTTGGCCAGCAGCAGCTGAAGCACTCAAGTAGTCTATGATGGCCACCTAGCACCATCATTGCACATATAGGAAAGGAAACTACTGTTCTCAGCAGAAGAGAATGGAATTCTTCAGAAGGAAAATGACCGAGGAATTAAATTCAGTCCCTTTTGATGAATCATCAAGGCATTCAAAGTGCCCTGCATTTGCACAGTGGCAGCACTACTGGCAGTAAACTTCAAAGAAATATTATAAAAATTAATGAGTTTATTTTTAGTCTGTTTGGTGACTTTTAAAAAATTAACATACCATAATTCACTGTTTAATTCAAGGATCATGAATGTTTCTTATTATCTCCTTGAAATTCTCAATAATAGAAACAGGAATAGATAAGACCAATTTTACTGGCCAAGAAACTAGGTAGGTCTGTCTTTTCATTTAGGGTCAAGCTGAGTCAAACCAAAAGCTTATTATGTCTGAGTTTCCAAATCTGTAGTTACAGACTGAAGAATTAGATGAGGTTATATGGGGACAATTTCCAGAATAGACAGATTTCTGTATTATTCAGCATCTATGGTATTTCTGTGTTTATAAAGTACTTTGCTACTACAAATAAAAAAGACTCTGCTTTCTTATTTTCAAAGTGAAAAATAATCTGCATATTGTGTAAATAACATGCCTTTGTTGTTGTTTTCTTTGAGGGTGGGGTGGAGGTGGGTGGGAAAAGAATTTTGGTTCATGTTCTGCTATGCTCAGGGCTTAGTCATGGTAGGGTATGGGGACCCGTATGTGGTGCCAGGAAACGAACCTGGGTTGGTCATGTTCATGGCAAGCACCTAACCACTATGGTACTGCTCCATTCCGTTTTTAATTTAGACACACGACTAGAAGTGGCAGTTTTCCAAATCATGTTTCTCTCATAAAATGAATTTGTCTCCCTCCCTAGTGATGGAAGTATGTATAAAGTGAAGAGCATCTAGTTGACAGGACTGGTTAACAGTTGGATTCAGTTAAAAAAAATTAGAGTGCAAGAAGGCTATAGATATGTTGGTCAAAAACTAAACACAGCTTATAAGTTAAAGGTACTAATGTGAATCAATAGTCTTCATTATTAAAGAAAGAAAGAAAGAAAGGGTACGTACAGACAATCTTTGATTGGTGAATAGAGGTTTAAAACAGTTATTTTCAATCTTTTTGTACTAGTAGACCAGTGGTTGAAAAATCACTGTCAATTAAATAGCAATAACTTCACAGACCAGGAACTTTCTGCAGATCAGCAGTTGAAAACCACTGGTTTGGAACATTTAGGATAGTAATATATTTCCCAGGTTTGAATCTCTTAGCAATAGAAATTTCAGTCACTGGGTAGGGCGTTCGCCTTACAAGCGGCCAACATGGCCGACCCGAGTTTGATTCCTCCGCCCCTCACGGAGAGCCCGGCAAGCTACCGAGAGTATTTGATATGCCAGACACAGTAACAACAAAGTCTCCAATGGAGACGTTACTGGGCCCACTGGAGCAAATCGACGATCAACGGGAGGGCCTTTACCTTTACCTTTACCTCTTTATAAAATGAAAATCTACTTATCTTACAATGTTGTATGATCAAGTGGGTCTAAAAGCACACAGAACTCTGAAATACAAGATTCAACATTCTAATGATTAATTCCTCCATATATTCTCTATGGCTGGAGTGATAGCACAGCGGTAGGGCGTTTGCCTTATAAGCGGCCAACATGGCCGACCGGAGTTCGATTCCTCTGCCCCTCTTGGAGAACCTGGCAAGCTACCGAGAGTATCTCGCCCGCACGGCAGAGCCTGGCAAGCTACCCGTGACGTATTCGATATGCCAAACACAGTAACAATGAGTCTCATGATGGAGACGTTACTGGGCCCGCTCGAGCAAATCGATGAACAACGGGAGGACAGTGACCAGTGACCATATTCTCTATAATCTTTCACTCTAGCCCTAAAGTTTCTCACCCATTTTAGGAAAAAAAATCTGATTTATCCCAAGAAATTCTCAAATTCCAACTCGTTGACATGTAAATCCTTTGACTTCCTTGATTTCTGTGATCAACACTGAGATTACAGAGAGCATAGGAGCAGTCTTTTTTTTTTTTTGGGTCACACTCAGCGATGCACAGAGGTTACTCCTGGCTCATACACTCAGGAATTACTCCTGGCGGTGCTCGGGGGACCATATGGGATAATGGGAATCGAACCCGAGTCGGCCATGTGCAAGGCAAACACCCTACCCACTGTGCTGTTGTTCCAGCCCCAGAGTCTTAGAAGCAGTCTTAGAGATGAAGTTTTGATCATTTGCTCAAGGTCTGGTGTAACTAAGAAATTATCTTGAAGTTGAGATGAGATTGGAAATGAGAATATACAGGCTTTCTGTAACAATTTAACAAAAGTTTCTTCTTTATGGTTAGCAGTATTAGACAAAGCTTCTTACTTTACAACCTGATAGGTGAAAAAATGGATTATCATTGTTCATTTTATTTGTATCTCAATTTTTGATGACTCAAACTTTTCCATGAATTTTGCTGTCCTTTACCAATTATCAGGTAATCTTACACACACATGAAAATTGTTTTTATTATCGTTTAAAAATAAAGGAAAAAGAACCTGAATTTTTTTTTTTCTCCTGTGGTCTCTTTTCTGGGAAGCGGATATGAATTTTTGATGTCCTTATTTGCAGACCATTATCAATATAACCATACGGCTTTAGTACGTCCTTTTAACTAAAGAAATCTTTATGTTCTGTATGTGGAATTGCGATTGTACAGACTTAAAACAACAATGTACATAGTATTTCACAGTACAAGTTAAGTGTAAAGGAAAGTACTCATTGTTATTGTTATATTTTGAGATCTTTTAATATTCATGCTGAATTAAAAATCCAAGCATGGGGGCTGGAGCAATAGTTCAGTGATAAGAGGGCTTGCCTTGGACATGACCAAGCCAGGTCCATCCCACGGCACCACATATGATTCCCCATATGCCTAACAGAGTAAATAATCTTCGTTAAAATCATAACCTTGCACAGTAGAACAAAATTAAAAAAAAAAAGATTGTAAACACCATCCAGCCTACCCAAGATGGTGCAAAAAGTATTCTTTTAGACTATTTTTAAGAACTATAGGTTTTGGGCAGCAATATATGCTGGACAGAATTCTTATATTCAACACTTGTTCTCATGAATTTTAGTAGTTCATATGTACTTCATGAAAATCTAGTTATGCAACCTTGAATTAATTTAATAAATTATAGTGGCTAACTTTATAACATACGTAAGCCAGTCCTTTAAAAGACTATATATTATTCATAATTGTAATCCACAAAGGTATCTAAGAATTCACAGGTATTCAAGAGCAAGTGGGTCTTGGTAGTGGTAAAATGTAGTGATAGCCATAATAGTCAGAAAGTTTTCATAATGACCTCATTTTATATATAACCAAACTTATGCCTCTGGTTTATGCTTTCTCTCTATAAATTGATCCTATAATAAACTAAAATTCCATAGTATAACAAGAACCCATTCTAATTTTGATCTTCACACATGAGATGTCATGTGTGGATTATTTTTCCTTCTATACAAGTTATTAAACGTTCTCAGCCAGTGATGAAACAGAATTGTACCAGTGATTACTTATGAGATGAAACCTTAATTGAAAGGTTAAAGGATGTTTATAAATGTATAAGCATTACCTGTCTGGCTTTCTGGGTAGAAGGGAGAGGAGCAGATGATGTGTCTGGATCTTAGAGGACAATAGGCTAAAGAAGAAATGTAGATATTCAGGAAATGGATAGTATTCTGATAAGAATTTGGCTCAAGGAACGCGGGGGTAGGTTGGAAAATGAGATTGGAAAGGTGGTTAGGTCCAGATAAAAGGATCCACATGTTATATTAAAGGATATTCCACCTTAATTACAAGCAGTAAAGAGTTTCAATAGTGTTTTATTTGTACGAAGCATGGTCCACAAAGAATTTTAAATAACTTACAAAACTACCATCAAGGAGACCAAATTAACTGAAGCCAACAGATCACATGATGTTTAAGAATAGGAAAAGAACACCTTATGAGAGGTTAGTACCACACAGTCCTACCTTTAGTTTTAAGTTTACTGCAAAAGCACAAAGGTGTTTGGTAGGAACTCAGGTGACAACATATATGGGGCAATGTTTCTCAAACAGTTAGTAGAATTGGATCCCAAAGCCTCCAGTGGGATTAGAGGAGAAACAGTCCTTTGAAGAGGGGCTTAAGTTTCTATTATAACAAAACTATATAGTGGACTTTAGTATAGAGTAAAATCTTTTCACATTACTAAAAAAAGAAAAACTCAATTTTAATTCCTTAAACCTTTTCTTCAGTTAGCATAAATAACAATGAAATGCTTAATAGAAAGATATTAAGAAAAAGATAAACCAAAAAGCCCAAGAGTACATTACTCTGCACTTGATAACAAGTATGGTTTTGTTAGATTTGACCTTGCAACCTATTCTGTGGTTGTGCCTAATGAATAAGTTTTTCACATTTGTAGCAGCTGCATATGAAACTAGAATTCATTAAGCCAACTCATTATGTAGTCATTAGAAAGCATTCTTACAAGAATAGAATTATTTCACTGCAAAATCGTAACCACCACATATTACACTATTTTTAATACTAGCACACATACAAAATATGAAAGCTTCATATTTTCATCCCATTTCTCCCATACCCCACAAATCTGCCACAGAATCTACAATGATTATGCAGTGAAATGTAGTCTCTGTCACATTCACAGTCCTTTAGAAACTCTTTAAGCCATTTAATTATTCTGTTGTGGATATTCTGTGTAGGATACTGGTTTCCCTCACTACATGCTGGTAGTATTTCCCCCAGAATGCGATGACAACCAAAATCTGTTCTCCTACACTACCTGTGTCCCTGCGGAGAGTAACTGAACCTAGTTGAGAACCACTGCTTTAACGACAATGATTCTCAACTAAAAAGGTATGCTGGAATACCTTAGAATCTGCTAAAGCAAGTTAAAATACCCAGATTGGCTAATGTAGATTCTTTCAACAAATCTGGAGTGGTACATGTATTTATAGAGAATATGGAAGGGGAGGTTAGGCACATCTTTTCTAATTTTGGGGGGTGTATGTGTTGGGGGGAGACAGCTATTGCGTTAAACCTGGTGGTCCCTGGAAGGCCATGTGATTATAAGGGATCAAATCTGGGCATGCACCCAGCTATAGACACATGTGTTTTTAAAGACCTCTGAGTCATTTTTAAAGTATGGTAAAGAATTATTATGCTTGAAATACTTTCAAAAAAACTTTCTAGAATAACTAAGAAATCTGGAGTACTTCACTGACCTCTATATAAAATTATTATCACTTAAAATTATTATAATAGAAATTTTTGGTCATACTTACTTGCCAGAAGCAGACAGGAAAGTGCAACTAAATGCAGCTGCTGGATGGAGATGTCATACCGATCCATAAACAGGTCCAGCAAATACACAGCAAGATGTCGGGCAGAAGGGCAGAGAGTGAAACGATTGCTCACAATTGCAATCAAGTCAGCAAAATACCTTCTGAGACTTAGTTGAGGGGATTGGCCTTTGTAAGAGGGCAACTTCAGCTCCTAAAACAAGAGGATAATAATTTTCAGTCTAACATGTAATATAGAATTATCCCCATAATGCAAGGCTAATTATCTCCCTTCCCCAAAAGATTAGTGATACAGGTACCTAAAAAGCACACTTTCTTCAGTGAAGCACAAAAATAAAATTAGTTGAGAGAAAAAAAATGGATTTTAAAACTTTCTCCTATTCTTAATATGGCAAGTTATAATCACATAGGTTTCTTACATAATGGGAAGGATATATTATAGCAGCATAAGTTTTTTGGTTTGTTTTGGGGTCATATCCAGTATTGTTCAGAAATCACTCCTGGCAGTGCTCTGGGGATTATATGCAGTACTAGGGATTGAACCTGGGTAGGTTGTGAGCAAGCAAGGCAGTGCCATAACCACTATACTATCTGGCAATGTTATAGCAATATTTTATTTTATTATTATTATTGGCTTTTTGGATCATAACCAGCAATGCTCAGACTTTACTTCTGGCTCTGCACTCAGGAATTTAAATTTACTCCTGGTGGTGCTCAGGGGACCATATGGGATGCTGGGGATTGAACCTTGGTTGGTCATGTGCATGGCAAACACCCTACCTGCTGTACTATCATTGTGGCCCCTACAGAAATACTTAAAAGAGGAGAATGCTACTTTATCAGATGTTTCTGAAAAACACCCTGTGTGTATCAACAGCCATATAGGGATGTTACTCTTCTATGCTGCATATTATAGCTATTGTTGTATCTGCAGAAATATGGAAGGTAGAGAATGGTGTAAACCCATTATTTATAAATCCAACTGTTTCCCTTTCAAGCAGTTTGTATCTCCTTTGCCATCATACTTTCAAATATCTAAAACTATCCCCATTCATCACCATTCATATTATAAGAACTTGTTATAGATTTGAAAAAGTCTGTAATTTTTTTTGAAAAAACATTTTTAATGATAGCTAAATTTCAACTGGTACCTCTTTGACAACAAACTTATTAAAATGTTATTGTTGCCCAATGCTGGTGGCATTGCAAAACCCTTTTTCTTTTTTTAAAGCCTGTAATATTAAGACACTTCCAGAATATAGTATAAGATGGAGAGGTTCTACTGGATAGAGGGTATCATGCTTAGTGAAATCAGTCAAGAGACACAGAATGAGTCCTCTCATATGTGGAATATAAAGCAGCATGGTAAGGGAATAGCAAAAGGTCAAAAGCAACAGAATCTAAAAATTGGTCTGCAGAAGTGAGCTTACCAACACAGTTGAGATGTGTGTGTGGGGGGAGGTGGGGGACGGGAAGTTAGTATATGGGAGAATGGTGTTGAGAGCTTCTCACCCGATGGTGGTGGGAAAGACACTGGTGGGAGTGGCAGCGGTGGTATGGTGTTGGAATGTTGTATGCATGAAAGCCGATCAACAATATTGAAAAACTGTCAATCATAATGATTAAGAGAAAAAAAAAAGAGATGGAAATGTTCTAAATTCATTTTATGATATCAGCATAATTCAAATAGTGTTTAACCGATTTGTATACTAACAGAAAGTACCATACACACTGACTCTAAAAACAAAAACAGGAATAAATATGAAAATACTAAAAACTCCAAAGGGATGAGACACTGGCTCAGAGGCTGGAGGTTATGCTTTGTATGCCTTTGCATGTATAGAGCCTCATTTCATCCCTGGCATGACATGTTCCTCTAAGAAATGACAAGGAGTTAACTCTGACCACCAAGCCAGAAGTAACCCTTGATTGAGAACAGGAGAACTGGTGGGTGTGGCCTCACTCCCACCCCAAAGGACTATGAAAGACTTGCCAATATAAAAAGATACTCCTTTCTTTTAGATTAAAGATCCTACAGATAAGTTTGACACATTTTTCAAATACACAGGAAAAGATAATTTATTATGTAGCTTCAAGTCAGTAAGACTCTCAGAATTAAAAAAATAAGAGGCCATTAATGCATAATTCACTGGTCCAGTAAAAGAGGGCCCCAAAGTATAAAAACTTGTTATCATTTCATTTAAAATCAACAAATTGTACTTTCCCTGGTCACATTAGACTTTATTCATTTTTGCTTCTGTTATCAAGAGCAGATACACGTATAGAAAACCCACAAACTAGTTATCAGGTTGACAACTGATACAGCTTTCTGGAAGGCTATTAAGAAATGACATTTATTCATGATATTTTTTGCTTGTTTTGGGGCCATGCTGGGCAATGCTCAGGAGTTACTACTCCTGGCTCTGCAGTCTGGAATCGCTCCTGATGGTGCTTGGGGGACCATATGGGATGCCAGGATCAAACGTCTTAGCTGCATGTAACCTACCTGCTGTACTATCACTCTAACCCAAGAAAGAGATATTTAAGGGATTCCCTTTAATCGAGTAACCTGAAGCCAAAGGAGTTTACCTAATTAAGGAGGTCGAGGTGCAGAACTTTATAAAATTATTTTTTTGGTTTTGGGGCCATATTTGGCAAGTGTTCAGGGGTCACTCCTAGTTCCTCACTCAGGAATTACTCCTGGCAGGGCTCAGAAAACGATATGGATATGGTGCTAGGGATAGTCGGCCACATGGAAGGCAAATACCCTACCCACTGTACTATCTTTCCAGTCTTACAACAGTAGAGTAAAATGTTTGATGTCCAGCCACCTGAGTATCCAGAGAATTATCCTTAGTGAACAGTCAACTCCAAAGGGTCACAATTGGTATGGATTAAACTGAATGACATTCTTGAAATGATAAAATGAATAGATTCTATAAAAAATTCTATAGTGATAGCAAAAGTTTTGATTTAACTATATTAGTTTCCAATATTCCAACTGTCATAACAGTACCAGAGTTTTGCAAAATACTACCACCATAACAAACTGGACAAAACTGAGGATCTCCATCACTTCTTAGCCTTCATGTGAATCTATAATGATCTCAAAATAAAGTAAAATAAAGTTTGATGTCAACCAATAGGGAGTTGTTAAATAAAGGGCAGCAGAAATTGAGTAAGAGTATAATGGAAGTATAGAACTGTAAATATTTTGACCTCTTTTAAACAACAATGAAAAACAATGATGTGATGAAAATGGTAAACGCAGGGAATCAGAAAACAGGTAGTTTTGGAAAGTTGATTTTAAACTTTATTGTCCATAAACCTTTTTTTAAAAGGGGGCCAGAGCGATAATACAGTGGAGAGGGCGTTTGCCTTGCACATAGTCAACCTGGGTTCAACCCCCAGCATCCCATATGGTCCTCTAAACACTGTCAGGAGCAATTCCTGAGTGCTAAAGCCAGGAGTAACCCCTGAGCATTGCCAGATGTTATCTAAAAAAGTTAAAAAAAAAAAAGAAAAAGAAAAAGCAAATGCATATAACACAATATTAAGAAAAATTAGTGTTATCAGGGTTAATGGATCTTTTAAAATAGGGGCTACCTCTTATGCATCAGTCTGGCAGTGTGGGACTGATGGTTTAGTGCTCTGGCACAATGATTCAATGTTTGGAGACCACCAGGCCCACACCTGGAGGCCAGTGCAACGCAGGGAACAGAACTCAGGGCTACTAGCATGTGCCCTACCACCTGAGTTATCGTCCTAGCACTAATGAATCATTTATATTTTCAATTCTTGCGCAAGTGAGAAAAGCATAAATAGCTGCTTGGTTCTTGGAAGGTAAAAATAACAATTTATCCAAATAAAGGAAATGTGCCAATTTCTTATGTAGTTCCTAGAAATTTTTCTCCTTTACTATTTCTTTAGATCTTTACAACGAAGTTTATGAGTTACAATTTTAAATTTTATCTTTATTGAGATCACATACCACTTAGCAGATACTATGCTAACAACACCAGAAACACAGACACAGCTAACTAATATATCAAGAGGATTAGAATATTATATAACCACAGGACTTAAAGACTCACTTAAAGAAATACAGCTAAAAATATCAAAATACTATTTTTGAAGACAAAACAAAGCCAAGAACCCCAACAGCTATCACTGATTTAAATTTTTTAATTATTGCTATTCTGCAGGGCCATACCCAGTGTGTGGTGCTCAGGGCTTACACTTCACTCTACTTTCCTGGGGAATGTATGGGGTGCTAGGGATTACAACTGGGTGGCCACACGCAAGGCAGACATCTTAACTATCTTTCCAGTCCGGTCCCTATTTTAAGTATAAGTCTATGGGCTACTTTCTTACTATTCTCATAAAACTAGTATTGCTTCTATCTATCCCAAGTCTCCTGAAAACACCCAAACATTTAAGAGACCGATATACATAGTGAAACAAAGACCCATGCATTAAAGACAGCTGCTTTTATTTTGAAAGGTGTGTGTGTGTGTGTGTGTGTGTGTGTGTGTGTGTGTAAAACTGCACTTTACAAGAACAAGCACAGCAGGCATTTTGGGTTGAAGAGGACCTCCACGTAATGCAATTTTTACTCTCCTCTGCTTCAGATATATACTGCTGGCCACCTCAATTACTCTTCCACAAACTGAACTAAGTAAATACCTTTCGTGTATTTAAAAAAATTTGGGCGAGTGTGGAGGGTTGGGGCCACACTTGGTGATGCTCAGAGGACCATAGGGGATGCCAGGAATAGAACCTGAGTAGCCATGAGCAAGGTAAATGCCTTTCATATTAAATTCCATAAGAGCAAGGGTAATGACTATCTCATTCATTGCTACCACTTTAACACCTGGCTTTGCCTTGTATAATGTGGGGCACTCAAAATTGTTAACAAGCATTTATACAAATGAAAATCACCTAGCAGTCTGGAATTAACATATGTTTACTATGAGAAAAGGTGATTTCAACTTTCATCAACTTCTGTAGTCTTTCCAAGTGCTACATATTTAAATTTTACTGATTTACAAATTCTTTATAAGTTTTGGTCATATTTTCAAATCACAATGAATGTAGGTTACACAAAGCTTAAAGACAATTTAGGACAGCATGCCACAGGTAGCCCAAGATAAATTTCAATGGCGTTCCTTCAGAACCTATGTTATCTCATTCTGTGAAATCCTGAAACTTTTCCTGACAGTGTGCCTTACTCCTAGGATACTCCCAAGAGTCTAATACACAAAAACATTCAACAAAGCTGCTAAAAGGGAAAAAAAAACCCAAAACCTCAAAAACATACATTTCTAAACTAAACCACAAAATTCAGGTCATCGCTCAGGATTAAAATTATACCTAAGATATAAAGAGTGAAAGAACTATAGAAATTACCCCAAAAATTACTCGAATTTTAAAATATATTTTAACATGTTTTAATATAATCAGATATATTAAAAATGTACCATTAATATAAAAAATTACTTTTAACACAAACTGAAAGACAAAGACATTTAGAAAAGAATGTTTTGGCGCCAGAGCTAGCAAAGCAGATAGGTCGCTTGCCTTGAAGGCAGTCCACCCATGTTTTACCCCAGCACTGCTCACAGTCCCTGGAGCCTGCCAGGAGTGATCCCTGAACACAGTGCAGGAGTAATCCTTGAGCACAGCTGGATATAGACACCCCCCTCCCCAAAAAATAACATGATCATGAGATAACAGATAGAAAAGAAAGAAAAGAAAAGGCCCTCCCGTTGATCGTCGATTTGCTCGAGCGGGCCCAGTAACGTCTCCATTGGAGACTTTGTTGTTACTGTGTCTGGCATATCGAATACTCTCGGTAGCTTGCCGGGCTCTCCAAGAGGGGCAGAGGAATAGAACTCGGGTCGGCCATGTTGGCCGCGTGTAAGGCGAAGCCCTACCCGAACATCCACAGGGCCCGCTCGAGCAAATCGACGATCAACGGGAGGGCCTTTACCTGAGATAACAGATATCCCCCCCCAAAAAAAAACCCAAGTACCTGGATAATTTTATTTTTTATTACTATAATCATTTTTTGGCTCTGAGCTCAGGAATTACTCCTAGCCTTGCTCTAGGACCATATGGATGTGGAGGATCAAACCCAGGTTGACTGTGGTGGAGGCAAACACCCTACCCGCTGCCTGGCCCCTGTGGATAATTTTAAAACGCAAAACATGCAACTCACTCTTGCAAGGCAAACACCCTACCAAGGGTACAACTGTAACAATTTAAGTCGGAATTGGGTTTTATAATCTATTTATCCTAGCCAACAAACAAAACAATGCCGCTCCCCCAATAAAATACAAGTTCATTATCATCCCAGATATCTCATCTCCATCAGTCAATTTTTATTTGTTTTGCTTCTCTCTCTGTCTATATCCAAGGGGGAAATGATACATAACTTTTCTTAAGGTTATTAAAAAAAAAAAGCAAGTACAGTTAACCCTTTAAGCAGAGATGTGGCAGAAAACTTGTTGAGAAAACAGTATAAGTATACAACAATTTTGAATTTGCCAACAAAGTGCATTTTTACCCCCTCCAATAGCTATAAGTGGTCCTTAATTCCGTCTATCTTACGGCTTCCCGAGGAGTCCCAAATCTTGGGATCTCCAAGGAAGAGAACAGTCAGACAAGTTTTCCTAACGCGGATAGGCAAGCGCTGTTCTAACTAAACACATGCATAAAGTATTAACTATTCTAACCCCACAAAGGTCCCATACAGCACATTCTATCATCATTCACCGCAGGAATATTATCGCTATTCATAAGGAAATCCGGAAACAGGAAATGAAGGAACTTCAGCCTAAAGTCTCACGCCAAGTGAGTAGAGAGGCTGGGAAATTTCCGGACAAATGTAGGGCTGCTTGGATCAAAAAAAATAAAAGCCACTGCCGCCCCCCCCCCCAACTAACCCAAACAAACAAACAAGTCTCGGCGCCTGTGTCTTTTCAACGACTGCATTAACTCAGTTCCACCTCGTTAGAACCTCAGAATCGCACCGGCTCCCACGCCCCACCCTAAACCGGCCCGCACCGAAGCCGCAGGTTCCGGGGCTCCTTCCCGGGAACAAGAAGATGATGCTGATGAACCTGGAGCCCAGGTGCTCACTGGCCCCTTCGGAAGGGCCGGGGCGCTCGCGGCGTCCGCGCACCTGCCGGGGACGCTGGGGGGAGGAGGGGGCGGGGGCTTTACCTTGTACCGCAGCGCCTGGTGGATGTCCGCAGCCAGCTGTCCCCGCCACCACTGTCCCTCCAGCTCCATGGGCGCGGGCGGCGCGCCGGGCCAGACGCGGCCACTGGTCTGCAAGACACAGCGCGGGCGGGGTCACCGGCCGGGGACGCCCCGCGCGATCCTCCGCGCCCGGTCCGCGAAGGGCTCGGACCTCGGGCTCCCGGGGCGCCCACCCAGACCCAGGCGAGGCTCGAGCTGCCGTCCGGGGGCGGCGGGGGCGCTTGTTTCGGGACCGCCCGGCTGGGTGCGGGGCAAAAAAAAAAAGGGGGGGAGACCCCCCATCCCACCGCCCCCGGAACCCGGGACTCGCGCACAGCGAGGACCCAGGTGCATGCTCCGCAGAGGCAGCCCGAAGGTAGGGGTGGGATCCCGCTTCCCCGCGTCCCGGGTTCGAATTCTCCCACCGACTCGGAGGAGCTGAGACACCCCCCCTCACCGCCTGAGTACGCCCCCCACCCACCGCCCGCCACCCTGCAGGGAGAGCTCCCGCGGAGAAGCCGGGAGACGGACGCACAGTGGCGGGCCCGCGCGCGCCCAGGCCGTGCCCGCCGCGCCCCGAGAGCAGCGCCCGGGATCGCGCGGCCCCAGTCGGGCGAACAAAAGGCCGGGCGCGTCCGATGCCCCCCGCACCCCGCCCGGGCCTGGCAGCGGCCGCGGCGGCCTCCTCTCACCCGTCACCGCAGCCCTCACAGCCCCCGTCCCGCCGGCGTGCGGGGAACGCCGACCCCGCGCATGCCGCGGAGACACGGCAGCGAAGCGCCGGCCTCAGCTCGGGCCCAGCGCCGGGGCGCTCGCGCCGCCCATTGTTAAAGGACCGGCAGGCGGTTCCGCGTACAAAGCCAGCGCCGGGGCACATGCGGCCCCGCCGCTGCCAATCTCGTCTCGCGATACAGCGGGGTCAGCCCGAACCGTCCAATCCGCGCCCGGGCCCGGGCCCAGGTGCAGCGCCCGGCGGAGGCTGGCTGCCGCTGGGCGACCCGGGCAGCATCCTCCGGCCGGCCCGGGCTGACCCCGCGCTCGGCGTGGCGCCCCCTCGAGAACCCGGCCGGCACCCACCGGGAAGCCCCGCACAGCCCGGGGCCAGAAGTCGGAGGAGAGCGCCGAGGAAATGCCCCTATCACCATCCCTGTGGCAAACCCGGTCATGCCACTCACCTGCTAGGAGAACCTTCGGTGGCCCCCGATGCCCGCGAGAGGAGTTAGGATGCCCGAGTTTGGCGTCGGAACTCGGCATCAGCCCGAACTCGGCTCACGTTGCAACAGCCCGATAAATACTGGGGCTTCTCGATGGGATTATAAAACCCACCCTGGTGTGCTTGAGCCATTTCCGCTTTCTCTGAAATCTTGTTATCGAGTTCCACCTCAAAATCGACTTCTAAAAATCTAATTAAGCTCCTGCCCTTTCTTATCACCTTTGCTTTACAATCCCAAGAGATTGAAGCGAGTTAAGAGTACCTTGCCTAACCTCGCTTGTCAAATCCATGTTGGATGTAATTAACCATCTGTGATTGTAAATCAAGAAAATGGCAAAACTGGAAACGCTCCATCATCAGTTAAGGTCGTGTTGAGATGTGATTGCAAGAATCTAATCTTATTTAAATCTTATTTTAACCTGTTTGGTGGAAGTGGTTGGTCAGCCAGGACAATGATCTTCACTTTTTCTGAGGCCGTAGATTAACCTCATATTACAAAATAAATCACGAAACACCTCTTCCTTTCACTTAGAATCCTGCGTCCCGAAAGACTGCTGTGAACGTATGTTGCATGAATCGGTTGTATTCATCACAATGTCTCCATATATTTGAATAAGATCTCTAACTCTGTGAGCCACAATTCATCTGTAGAAAATGCTTATGTCTCCGAGAGCAGGCTGAACGCAAGACAAGGAAAACTGAGAAACAGAAGTTTATAGAGCCTAGTTGAGCTACACATTGGGGGGGGGGGGGGGGGGGGTCAGAAACGGAGGGAGAGAGAGACTAACCTCATCTTTCCTAGTTGCTAGGGCTCCCTAGAGAGGAGAGAACACATCAGGCTAAAAGCTCAAAACCATCACAATGTCATTTAAATACGACCCAACTCCTCAGATTGCAATTCTTGCACTAAGCAAATTTATGACAATAATTTGACTTTGCAGTAACTTAAATATCCAGGGCCTGTTTAAAAACCCTTTCAGCAAATTGGGTCACGGACTATTATCATCAGTGTAATAAGTAGCTTGTCTCCCCAGGTTTCATCTTTGAAGATGTTATTCACTGGGAGATGTTTATTCAGAAACCATTCTTAATATTTTCTAGATTTGTCTCCTATGACAAAAGAACTTTATGTCCATTCATTTTATAAATAGACACACGCACACACAAATAGCTTACCTGTGACTTAAGTTGTAAATTTCTATGTTGTGCGAGGATCTAGAAACAACCCAAATGCCAGACAGACGAGTGGATAAATAAATTACTGTATATATACACGATGGAAATATTAGTTATAAGAAAAAAAATGAAACCCTAACTTTTGCTACATTGTGGATGGAACTAGAGGATGTCGTGTTAAGCAAAATAAGTCAGAGGGAAAAGGACAAATGCAGATGATCTCACTCATGTAGCATATAAAGAAACTAAGGGAAAGGACAATGATTTATGAAAACAAACTCTGACACAACAACTGGTCAGTGGTGAAGGATAAGTTGAATGACATTAGCATTATGGTAGTCAAAAATATAAAAAAGAAAAAATTAGAATAAAAAATTAGGGGTCAGAGAGATAGTACAGCCCATAAGGCGCTCGCTTTGCCTGTGTTTGACTGAGGTTCGGTTTCTGACATCCCATTAGGATCCCCGGAGCACTTCCAAGAGTGATTCTTGAGTGCAGAGCCAGGAGTAGTCCCTGAGCATCAGCAGGTGTGGCCCCAAACCCAATAAGGCAAAGGAAAAGACGTGCTTTGGAATGAACATGGAGTTTGCATGTTGGGAGCAAAGACGAATTAGGGAAGATAGAGCTTCCAAATAATGAGCAGAGTAAAGAGATCTAGAGAGTCCAGTGTATCTGCAGCAGGAGATATGATATGGGTTTGACACGAGAAGAGGATATCTGGAGAACTTTTGGAACTCACTGGATTTCGGCAACAAAAAAAAATTGCTGCTTATTTTTCACTTTATTTCTAAATTTCATTTCCTTCCTTTAAAAAAATTTTTTTGGGACTGGGGGTGTGGGAGTGGGGCAATACTCCTGGTACACGCAGCAGTGCTCAGGGCTTATTCCTGGCTCTGAGCGCAGGGATCACTCTTGATGAGGGTGGGGAATCACGTGTGATACTGAGGATCCAAGCTGGGTAGGCCACATGCACCTACTGTGCGATATCGCTGACCCCTATTTGTTTACTTTTTAAAGTTTTTTAAAAAGTGTATTTAGAATCAGCTAGTCCCACTCAGTTTTTTAAAAAATTTTTAAAAAAATTTTTTGATAGTGAGACATATGAGGTACAGTTGTAGACTTATAAATTTTTGTGCTTGAGTTTCAATTATACAATGATCAAATGCCCATCCCTCCACCAGTGCCCATTTCCCACCACGGCGGATCCCAGTATCCCTCCCACCCCCCATCCCTCCCATCCCAACCTGCCTCTGTGGCAGGGCATTCCCTTTTGTTCTCTCTTATTGGGTGTTGTGGTTTGCAAAAGAGGCAATGGGTGACAATAATGTTTGGTCTATAGTCTTCTTTCAGCATGCTTCTACCATCCCAGGAGGATCCTCCCAACACCTTTATTTGGTGTTCCCTTCTCTATCTGAGCTCCCTTTTCCCCTAGCATGTGTGGTTGGCCTCCAAGCCATGGAGTAAAATTCCTGGTACTAATCTCGGCCATTCTTGAGTGTTAGTCTCCTATTTTGTTACTTTATGTTCTCCAAATGAACGCAGTCTTTCTATGTCTATCCCTTTCTTTCTGAGTCATTTCGCTTAACATGATACTTTCCATGTAGTACCACTTGTATGTAAATTTCATGATTTCTGTCTTTTCTAACAGCTGCATAGTACTCCATTGTGTAGATGTACCAAAGTTTCTTTAACCAGTCGTCTGTTCTCGGGCACTCAGGTTTTTTCCAGATTCTGGCTATTGTAAAGAGTGCTGCAATGAACAAACAAGTGTAGATGTCACTTCGACTATACTTTTTTGCCTCTCTGGGATAAATTCCCAGGAGTCCCACTCAGTTTTGATGATCTAATTTTTTGGCAGCATCCAAGGCATTCTAATCAGCAACCAGCTGAACACATGCTTTCTTACCATCAAATCTGATAAAGGTGTGGCCTTGGCCACATCAATGTCACAGGACTTCTTCCCAGCCTGTTTCATCTAGTTCTTTTTGACCCTGACAATTACAATGAACACAGAAGTATTGTCAACTATCTTCTTCATAGCTTAGTAGTCGGAGAGAAGTTGATGGTTGCACAGTGGCAGGCTTGTGTTTCTTGGGGATGATCTTCAAAGAATATCTGGGTTGCCTTTGATTATGCAGTCTTCAACTGTCAAAGGAAGGTGAGGTGCAAATCTTGGAGCTGTTGGAGCTGTGGTTTTTTGGCATCGCTATTTTTTTTTTTTTTTTTTTGCATTTAGAGCTTTGATCCTGGCTTTATCTATGGGAGGGAAGGGGCTTCCATCTTTGCATTTGGTACCATCTTTGTGAAAAGCCAATTTTAAAAAGCAAATACATACAAATGGCATAACATTTAGAATCGAAGACTACATATACTCACTAGCAAGTCTTCCTCCGTCCTCTGATCCCGAGCCTTCCCAGAAGCAACATTATTTTCTTTTGTGCTCTCTTCTAAAGATATTCAGATTTTTTATAACCATGCACAACACAATAATCTCCATGCCCCAATTTTTGTTTTTGCACAAATGAAAGCAATTTACATTCTCCATTAGTCAACAACTAAGTCCTTTGTTGACTTAGTTTTGTCTGATTGTTTCATAACAAAACATCCAGGATTTCTTTCAAAGACTACCTCATATTCTACTAATGCACAGAACTATAAGTCGGAACTCCTGGGTTCTAGTTTTGATTAGCTGCTTGCTGCCTAGGAGATCAGCCTTATACTGGTGCCTCCTCTGAGACTCAGGTTCATAATCTCTAAAATGTTCATAAACTCTAAAATGAATTGAGTAATGACAGAAATTACTTTGATTTCAAAGTTTTATGTGCTTTGCTCTTGCTACACACAGTCTTCTGTAGGGAAAGAAACACTCAAAGAATCTCATCATTATTGTTTTAAAAAAGTTGAAAGTATATCAAACTTATTCATGCATCACTGTTGAGGTAAAATATTTCTAAAAGATTTATAATGATAAGCAATGGTTCATTATTATACTCCCTCTGCAAAATCTTAGCACGCTGAAGGTTGTGTGTTTGCGGGCTCTCTGGATGGCTCTGTCTCACTGCCCGCGTTCGGTGCTTTTGAGCCACTGTGTGTGGCCTGGATCAGATCAACAACTGGATCCTTGTTGGCCAAGGGCAGACGAAGGAAGAAGCGGAGAGCCAGACTGGTGAATATTAATTGTAGTTTATTCCAATCCTCTTTACTACAGTCTCTCCTTTGCCTCCTTCTCTCCTGGGCCCCAATCTGGAACCTTTCTCTTTCTGTCTCTGACTCGATCTCTGGAGCCCGAGCTCTCTCACTTCTGACTCTGATCTCTCAGAGCTTACATTCTTAGTTTATATAGCAATCACGTAGGGTGGTGACACAAAGGTGGGTTGAACATTAACAAATCAACAAAGAGAGGTAAGACCACTCCTCCAGGAGATTAACTCAAGGATAAAATCTCATCTAAAGAGATTACTCCAGATTACTAGGA